AGGTAGAGTTAGATAGAGCTGGATTTCGCGTTTCCAACAAGTATTGAAATTGCTCTGGAAGCCTTCCATGCAGAAAGATAGGGTCTCTCAAATTTCGTCGAGGGACGTCGAGGATGTTGAAATTTCCATGCGAGTTTTTGCCGCTCTGAAAGCAATATCTTTCTAATATCGTGAGACCAGTCGCATCGGCCGGGCTCTGCTCCTTCTTGGTGTCGGAATGCCCAGCGTAGCCAGGCGATGCGACTGGTTTGGGCATTTCTTCTTCGCACACGTCGTATAGCAAGTATTGATTGGGTACTGTGGAAATTCCTTCGGGTCACGTGCTATCCGATCGATATCGATTGAAAATATCGGTTTTTGCGCAGAGGGCTCCGTTGGGGTCAGGAATCGCAGTAATGATTGGGGGCTTTAGAAAAGTGGAAATTCCTTCGGGTCACATGCTAGGAGCGATAATTTGATACTCCTGCTGACTGGGGCATTTTGCCAACATCTTTAAAGGTCGCCATTCGTTGCGGGACCCGCTTCCTCCACCCACAGCTCCCTTGAGAATCCTAAGCGTTTGAATTTATTGTCATCATTGTCTAAGTTATGCTCTGCGGAGATCCAGCGGTATATTAGAAAAGCTTATCTACACGACCAAGTGCGACGACGCCCACGACATTCCCATAGATACATCTAATCAGACTTCGAGACATGGACTGTACTTTTGCAGAGTAGAATTTTTGAGTTGATGTGCACTACCACAAATATTCACTGCACACATCTCGAAAGTATAAAAAAACTGCTAGACCAGATATAGGCCGTCCAGTCTTATTAATCCCTTCATCAGTCCTACCGGTGCTCATTCAGTCGAAAACAGGGCAGTAGCGATAGCAGAACTACAATACTGATACTAATTTTTGTTCAATCGACGGTTTGCGACGGGTAAAACCGTCGCAAACCGTCGCCTCGCCATAACTCTTGAAGAAATGGTTCGCGCGATTTGAAAAGTTATACCAGCTGATAGCTCTGCTCGAGATTTACAAGATGCTATATTTCAATTTTCGAAAGAGCTTCATCTAGGATTGCAGTAGTGGTAGGCCCATTATGTGACATTCCCCACTTTTAGAGGAGATGTTTTGTGGAAACCTGAGAAGATAGCGAGGAAATCTCTCCACCGGCGTAGACTACGGTTACTTCTCTGTAGGAATCAGGTAAAATATTTGGTCGCAGGTGAGCGTTCCTTCCGTGGTGTGACCCCAAACATCACTGCTCGTCATGTCCTTGTGATATGATCAGTTTTTTTGCTTGTCCAGATGGTCTCTGGAAACTGAAATGTGCATCGTTCAACAAGTAACCCGGGTTGGCGGGGCGTTCTCAAACTAAGCAGTGCTTAACAAAAAATTGATAACTTGGTTAGAAGGCCTACAGAGCAGAAAAAAATTGGCAGGGAAGCAATGTCTAAGGTGTCCCAGCATACATGACGTGGGCGGAGGCCCGCCCACAATGGGGAGCGCGCTCTGAAGTGTACAGCATTTTCTACAAGTCCTCATAATTCGGGCAGAAGTCTTAGGGAGCCGGAAAAAGGTGGATAGAGGTGGGTGGAGGAGTGGAGGTCAACTGTCGGGGCATGACCAAAGTGGGCGGAGTTTGCGACAAAAATTCATAACTCGGTTCCAAGAAGTCCTGGAGACCAGAAAAAGAAGAACAGAACTTACAACAGAAAAGCAAACGCTTCTGTAAACGAATCATTCCCTACTGAACTGAATGTATATAGCAATTTAGTGTGTCTGTCTGTCTGTCTCTCTATTGTAACCACTAGGCAGATTACTACGTAGACCCAAGAAGAACAGTTGGGAAATGGTTCCCGGGTGGGAGGGAAGTTGCTATTAGGGCATGATCGCTTGGAGGCGGGACTTGGCTAAGAGTGGGTACGGTAGTGGGCGGAGCCTGACCCGTTGCGCCGAAATCTATCGAAAGAAGGGTTTCAATATCTGTTTTTGCGCAGAGGGCTCGAAGAAGTCTTAGGAATCACAGTGTTGATTGGAGGCAGTGGTCAAAGTCGAAATTTATTCGGGTCGCATGATGTCGATCGATATCTAATCATTGTTCCACAGGAACGTTGATTTGATACTCCTGCTAGACTGGGGCAATTTTTCAACATTTTTAAGGTTGCCATTCGTTGCGGGACCCGCTGCCGCCACCCACAGCGAATCCCTTGAAAATCCTGAGCGTTTGAATTCATTGCCAGCTACAGTTTCCTCAGTGCGGAGCGGGGAATCCGTGAGCCAGGGGGAATGTAGCCAAATTCAGGGGGGTGGGGGGTGAGGGCAGTCACTTGACATGCGTGAAAAGCTGGAATGTTCGAGTTTCCACTATGTCGAAACATGCCATGCGCCGCGGCGGCAACTGCCCCCCCCCGAGCCACATTGAGCAAAAAAAATTCAATGGTGTGGGGATAAAAGGGAATTTAGTTTCAGAACACTCGCATTTCAACGACACTTCCATTACGAGAGTTCCCCTGAAGTTCCTCTGCCATTCCATTCTTCCAGAGCCACTTGCTAGCCTCATCATTTTTCCAACCCTCTGTGACTCGGCCTTTTTTGTGTTAAAGTGGGTTGGGGGTTGGGACCACGCGGCGGCGCTTCACAGCGCCTGGCGCTCTCTCGAAGCGAAATAGTGTAATCCAGCTTTTCACGCATGTCAGGTGACTGCCCTCACCCCCACCCCCTAGACTGGCTACACTCCCCCTGGCTCACGGATTCCCCGCTCCGCACTGAGGAAATGGTAGATGGCAATGAATTCAAACGCTTAGGATTCTCAAGGGAGCTGTGGGTGGAGGAAGCGGGTCCCGCAACGAATGGCGACCTTTAAAGATGTTGGCAAAATGCCCCAGTCAGCAGGAGTATCAAATTATCGCTCCTAGCATGTGACCCGAAGGAATTTCCACTTCTTCTAAAGCCCCCAATCATTACTGCGATTCCTGACCCCAACGGAGCCCTCTGCGCAAAAACCGATATTTTCAATCGATATCGATCGATAGCACGTGACCCGAAGGAATTTCCACAGTACCCAATCAATACTTGCTATACGACGTGTGCGAATGGAAGAAATGCCCAAACCAGTCGCATCGCCTGGCTACGCTGGGCATTCCGACACCAAGAAGGAGCAGAGCCCGGCCGATGCGACTGGTCTTACGATATTAGAGAGATATTGCTTTTGAAGCGGCAAAAACTCGCATGAAAATTTCAGCATCCTCGACGTTTACTCGACGAAATTTGAGAGACCCTATCTTTCTGCATGGAAGGCTTTCAGAGCAATTTCAATACTTCTTGGAAACGCGAAATCCAGCTCTATCTAACCCTACCTCAAACTGCTTCAAAGGTTATGAAATGGAGGAATGCAACCTTTTCATCGAGGGTGCGATCGTAATTGATTGCGCCGTTCATATTTCTTTCGGTTGATACAAGAAGTCGACCAAGTGAACGAATCGTTGGCCCGACAACAATGAAATATGATACAGCGAACATTCGGCTGTTGTTGATATACTCAAGCAGGAATTAAGATTAAATCGCAACCCCGTGCCTTCAGGATTTCTTGCATTTCCAGAGGAACCTGCCTTTTGAAATCACACAAAGTTAATGCCTCTTTCCTCGAGTCTACATTTTAGCAAATACACGAAAGTGGGCAGCGATGAAAAAAGTGCTTTTAAGACAAGATAAGGCGTCCATAACATTATTTTGCAGAATTTTTTTTGATTTTTTTTTGCATTATTTATTTTAATTGAATTAATTTGCTCTGTTTTAGGGGGTCGTGCCAGGATCTCGATTTCAGGGGGGTCGTACTTCTGCGACCACGTCCTCGACACGATTTTCACTCTGGTACACTCGCATATGCACGCTATGCATCTCTGCTTTCGTTCCTTCCTTAATAAGACTTAGTCCTAGTGCTCCCCCAAACGCGTGAGAGTCCAAACAGAAAAACACAAAGTAGTTCATTCCTGAACGAAGTAGTGCTTTTCTGTCTGGGCTCTCACGCGTTGGTTGACCACCGCCCCGTAAGCTGGCGAAGGGCTCGAAGGGAGGCGCTGCAAAATCATCAAGGCGGTAGCTAAGAGCTGATCTCAGACTGGAAAGATAATGGGAATGAGGAGAGGCGAGACAGTTAGACGAGGGATTGACAATAGTTTTCATGGAATAACTTATTGTCATTCAAGCATATTAGTAGTTTTACACATGGTTAGACTCGCCACAGAGAGGCGAGTCTATTGCTGTAAAGATCTTTCCATTTTACCCGCTTTCAAGGAAGTTATGATGGTGCGACGGTTTGCGACGCTACAGAACCGTCGCAACGCGTAGATGTTACAAAAGTTAGGAGCAGTATTGTAGTCTCTGATGCACTTTCAGCTATGGTTTCAGCTCTTCCAAGACTGAGGTAAAGGACCTGAGACGAAGATCGTGGATTTTGACCTCTAGCTCTAGATGACGGAGAAATAAAGAAAGCCAACGAATTGAGTCCTCGACAAACCGCACAAAACTTGCATGGAGATTCAGTTGTGTCAACAGAAAAATTTGAAAGTTCCTACGTGCGACTGTTAAGGCCTTTCAGGATAGATTAAATTGACCGAAGGTGGTTCAGTGTATATCCAGTAGAGAACAGTGAATAACACAACAGTTTATGAGTGCAACACAAATACAGGAAATAGTAACAGCGAATTGCAGAAGTACTTCGAGAAGGCAATACAAGGAGGCGTAGCGCCAGGAGACAGATCTTTGGGCCAAGAATACAGCGGACCGAAGTGTTCAGAAAACAGACTGACTATCCAATCCCCGTCTCCCCTGCGTACCCCCTATTTTGGCGCCAAATCGATTATGATATGATCAACTTCTGAGATGGTCAACCGTATGTGAGTAGAGAGATAAACAAATAAACAGGAAGAAAAACAGGAAAACAACGGAAATATAATCGCGTATGGTCGCGATACTCCCCCCAGGGATAAAGCTGGCGTACGGGTATTGAAATTAGGCGTCAATGCCACGGCGTGTAAGACCACTTGAGATCCTCCTGATGAGCTCTCTCGCTTCGTCACGTTTACGGCGTAAGTAACTTATTTGATCCTCGGTTCGCTGATTTTCCTCAGGTAGAGGACAGAAGGCAGAATTATGTCCAGAGTCGCCACAATGGTAGCACGTTGCGTGGTGTTTTTTGCAATTCTCTCCTTTAGGACAGTAGCGGTCTAGACACTTTTTACAGATTTTTGTCTGGTTGATGCGTAACGTGCGTGCCTTGAGAGTCGAGTAGACAGTGCAGGAATCTGAATAGTGGTCTCCGCGTATGTTACAGAATATACAGCGCATTCGTGCATCGTTCGGGTTTTCGATTTGTCCTTCGTACCTGCGAGGTCTACCACGCTTCTTCCTCTCCAGCTCGGCAATCATTCTGTCGTACTCTCCCGCAGCTTGCTCTGGCGTCTCCTAGTTGTTGTCGGAGGCGGGATATCTCATCGTCCGGGTCTTCTCGTCGATCGAACTGTACCATTACCTGCAACTCCCCGTCTCGATCGGTATCGTTTTGATCCTCCAATTCATCGTCACTTATTGCTTCTAGGAGTACTAAAGGTTCTTCATCCTCATCCGGATCTCCTACTGCCTCCATAAAGTCTGCGTTCCTATTGATCGTTTCCAGCTCGTTCACGTGCGATGCGGTGTCCATTTTCTCGTCTTCTTCGCGTATGTCGTCATGTATCCCACAACGAGGTCCTCTTATGCCAGCGTTGTTTCCCACAGGCGTTCCCACTCAAAGGGTTGCAGAATTCCGGTGGCGAACATGAGCGGAGGGTAATTCCAGGAGTCCCGTAGATGAGAGCGAGTTAAGACAAAACGAAGTTCTAATTTTTCTAGAGTGAGCTTCAGATATTGATGTCGATGAAAGAATTCAGTATGAGAGAGTGCGCTATTACACAGATTTCTGACACTATGTGACAATGTGGTGAGAGAACGTCTCAGAGAAGCTATGGCTCTACAATCAGAGACAATCTGACGATGCAGGCGTTCTGGTTCCGGGAGTACACCGATGGCTGAGCGTAGGCGAATGTAATCGGATTTCAAGCGTTCTGAGTTACTCGCGTCCATAATCTGAACAATTGGAGTGAAAATCATGTATATGACTACTAAAAATTTCTTAGAAAAAAAATAACAAAAAAGTAACAAAGAAATGACTTTTTTGAAGTGTAAAGTTTTGTCATGCGTTCCGGCGTGCCTTTGGCGTCTTTGAAGAGCTTCTGGCGTCAATACTGAGTTTTTGGCGCGAAGAAAGCCTATTTTCTAACGAAGAAAGTCTCCGGAACGACGTATAGTGTATATGAAAACACCGCTGATGTAACACGCGCAGGTTTTTTGTGGCTAGGATGGCGTATGGTATCATTAGTGTCTTGGTGATATAAGGATAACCAAATAAAGGTGCCCTGTTCCATTCGAGAATACCGCAAGTTGTGGCGAGGGTTTTCTCACAATCATTTAATGTTGATTGCGTCGGTGACTTGGCGAGATGAGGTCTTGTGGTGGCTATTCGGGCCTGAAAATGGTTTCGACTGAGGGTGCCAAAGGGTCTTCGTCAGTGTATTGAGAATGAAGACCTCGTCCTTGGAGCAGGTGAGTTGGACTTCTGCAGGAGATATCGTACTTCCAAGCATCATGAGAGAAAAAAGCATGAGATGGAAAAGAAACCATCTTCTCGTCGTGCTGACACTGACTTGTCGTCACCTTCTGCTTGAGATGGTCGTGTGGTTGGGCGTGGACGTAAGTTGTAGTGCTGATTTCGTTCGGAAACAGTAGGGGGTTGTGTCTTGGTGGGTATGTTGTGGCGATGGTGATCTTTGTATTCTTGAACTTCCAGCGGAATTAGAAGATTTACCGGTCGGTGGATTTTTCTTCTGGTGGATGTGATAAGTTCTGCTTCTCGTATATTGCCATCCGTTCCTTTGCGTGTGTCTATGATTCGAGCCAGTCTCCATTCGTTTCGAGGGAGCACAGGATCGCTTACTAGGACTATGTCGCCACACGATGGGGTAACTTGTCCGTGGCGCTTGTTGGTTACGTTTGCAGTGTGTGTTTCTCGTAAACTGGTTAAGTACTGCTCATGCCAAATCTTCCAAAATTTCTCTGTAGCCTGGCACGATGACTGAAGAGCGTCCAGCACTTCTCTCCTTGTATGAAAGGCCCTTTCTTCGTCAGGAGTGTAATAATCTGGAATCCTCGTTTCTGGTCAGGATGGCGTCTTCTATGGGGAGGGTCAGCTCCAAATCTCTCTGAATGAAGTCGATTGGTCGGATTGAGGAAAATTCTTCATGCGTAGCACCTTGGTATGTCAATGGTCGTGAGTTAAGACATGATTCAATTTCCGTTAGGAACGTACGTAGGTGATCTGTGGAGCGACATGATGAGCCTCTAAGGGCTTTGTAGAGAGCGTGTTTTACTGATTTAATCAAGCGTTCGTAAAAACCGCCTTGCCATGGCGCATATGGTGTAATACGTTTCCACTGCCAGCATTGTTTTTGCGTCAGGATGTAGCGTCGTCCTTCGATTTCCATCGGCGAGGATCTTTTCAGTGAGTATAAAAGTGGGAGCGTTATCGCATGTGATGGTTTCGGGGATTCCTCTACGGGCGATGAATCGTCGGAGAGCGTTAATAAAGTCTTCCGTGCTCATGCTAGGTACTAGTTCTAAGTGTATGAGACGTGTAATGGTGCATGTGAAGATGCACCCACACGGATTGATTTCGTTTCCGTCCTTCGTAACTTTGGGAAGATCGAAAAAATCGAGCCCAATATTCTGAAATGGACGGCTACGGATTACTCTTCGCTGTGGTAGGTCGGTCGAGTCCGGATATGGGTACGGTAAAGCGTTAAAGCGTCTACATTTCACGCATTTGAGGACCAATCTCCGAGCCTGTTGACGTAATTTGGGGATCCAATACTCTGAGCGTACGGTAGCCATCGTGTGTTCAATTCCCTGATGATAGGGACCATGAGCTTCTCTTACAATAAGTTCCGCTAAACTCGTATTGGGTGTAATAAACATGGGATGTTTTCCTTGTTGAGGGAGCGAAGAGCGCCCAAGACGTCCTCTTGATTTCCAGATACGATCTGAATCTTGGAAGAGACATAAGGATGATTTTAAAGATTTGCGGCACTCCTTGGTTAGGTATGCTTCTTGAAATGTGCGAATAAGGAATAAGCGGGCAACTCGTTGCTCTTGTCCTCCGCACTGTTCCAGTGTATCAGGAATTGAACAAAGTTCGGGTATGGTCGATGCTATCCGGTTGACACGTTCTTGTGGAAGAGGCTTTAGAAGTTTCTTGATAAAGATCAGAGTAACCAGGGCGGTCTTTTTCGCAGCACGTAATGAACTGAAGCGGAACAGTCTATGATTGGTTTCAAGTTTTCCGGTGGTCTATCCTGCGTGATATTGATGACTGCTGAGGTGTCATAGTCCTCGTAAGAGTTGTCCATATTGAATGGATAAACTGGAGCGGTCCAACTGCTCTCCGGTGAACGTAGAAATCCTGGGCCTGACCACCAAATATGACTCTCTAATTGATGTTTTGTCAGCCCACGCGTGCCTGCATCCGCCGGGTTATCATTGGTTGAGACATGGCGGAATTCAACTGAGAAATTTTCTCTTCCGAGAGGTCTCTACAATTCGGCGTACTTCACGTAAGCGATTTTCCACAAGGCGCCCTAGCTGCGCTTTTTGTAAAGGCGTATTTAGCCAACTTAATGCGACCTGAAGAGTCCGAAAAAATATACAGTTTGCGAAGACGACTGTTGGCGAGTTTTGGATGCTTGAATGATGGATAGGGCTAGGCGACATGCAATCGTGATAGCGTTTATTTCTAATTTTGGAATAGTATATTTTGATTTTATGGAAGGAAGTTTACATTTTGCCATAATTAGAGTCGAACTTTTTTGGTTGAAAATGTACGCACAGGCAGCCAGTGCAATAGTACTGGCGTCTGCGAACACTCCTAAATATATATCGTTGGTGTCGTGTTTCGTGGGAAGGAGCGCTGAAACCCGTGGGCGTCTTTTAGGATATTATGCCACTGAGTGCTGAGCTTTTCTGGGAGAGGTTCATCCCAGGTGAACTTGTGTTTCCATAGATCTTGTTGGAAATGCTTGGCAAGCGTTAGCAATGGTGATATCCATCCGAAAGGATCGTAGACCGATGCAATCTGACGTGCAACAATCCGTTTTGTGGTTGTGTTTGATGGAGGTATATGACAGTGTATACTGAGTAAGTCCTCAACAGAATTCCAAGTGATACCCAACACCTTGTGTGTTTGGGAGCTCGCGCAAGCATGGGGTGGTAAATTACTACCCAGTTCTGGAATGTTGGCGACAAATTCGCGTAGATTCATTCCTATATCTGCAAAAATCTCCCGTGCCTTGAGGGATTTTTCTATAGCGTCGAGCTTGGAGTCTGCTGATAACACAAGGTTATCGACATATAGATTCTCCTGAATTTCTTGAGCGAGGATTTCGTCTTTGACGGCGCAATGTAATGATGATGATTTATTGTGGCTCCCAAAAGAAATGGAGAAACGTTCAGTCCGAACGTCACTCTTGTGAAACGAAAGGTGACTAAATTATCGTCTGTTATTGGTTTGCGTACATCTTTAACCCACAGGAATCGCGTGGCGTCTCGATCGAGTTCATGAAGGCGTACCTGTAGGAATGCTTTTTCTACGTCGGAGGTCACTACGTACCGCGCCATCCGAAAGCGTAGGAGTACGGCGTAAATTTCTGGCAGGATTAATGGTCCTTGATGAAGGATGTCATTTAGTGAAGGGCATCCTTTGAAATGCGAAGAAGCGTCGAATACGATTCGAAGCTTGGTAGTGTCTTTATGTGGAGTAATAACTGGTTGATGTGGTATGTAATGTAAAATAATGCCGTCTAAGGGTTGGTCATTTGGGATCGCTTCAATGATACCCTTGACAGCTTGTTCTTTTAATATGTCCTGGTACCCTTCAAGAAGGTCCGGGCGTGATTTTAGCGTTTCTAAGACGCTATGTAATCGTCGTAGTGCTATCGCCTTGTTTGAAGGCAATGAATCGTGATTTTCCCTATATGGTAAACGGACATAGTATCCGTCCGCTCGATGTTGAATGGTTTCATTGAAGAATTTCAAAACTTCGGCGTTGATGGCGTCCCGCTCCGCGTCTCTTGCACCAGAGAATTCACAAATTCCTGACGAATCCATCGTCCAATATTCCATTGCTCCTTCAGCGATAAGTTCGTTCGCGAAATTACCATCTCTGTGTTATTGTGACGGGACGTGAATGAGTAAAACTTGATGGCTATTCGTCCTCCTGGCTGACGTTTTTAACTCCTGTAAGGAATAGCCTAGCCTCGATGGAATTAGTTGCAGTCCCGATGGTAATGTATATCGAGGAGAACTGGACTCGAGGAAGTTCCACAGCTGATCACAACCAAGGAGAATTTCTGGGTTTGACATCTCCTTTTTAGTGGGGCGGGATAGGGCAATACCGTGATAGGTAATGAAGTTCATGTCTTCTTGTGATAACTCCGCAGCTCTACTTGTCCTCGTCAGGTTTTGTGCCGTGTAAAGGTTGAGGGGGTATTTATGTACTGAGCGTAATCAAGCTGCTTTGAGCACATTTGGGCTCTCTATTGCCGAAAGTGTGCATAGTAAGTGTTCGACAGTTGGATCTGTCCAGTCCTAAGTCTTGCGCCAGTGCCTCACTAATGAATGATCTGTCCGCACCAGTGTCAAATAGAATTTCGACCTCCTTCCAGTCCGTATCGAGTGTGCTCCACACTTGAGCGCACCCCGTGAGTAGTGCAACCTGTCCCTGGTCTACACTATTTGCTTCAGAGTGATGTAGTACTAAGCTGTCCTGGTTAGCTTCTTGTACTGTTTGAAAACATTGCTGAGTGTCATCAACGGTTGAACTTTGTACCGGATGTACTTGTGTCCTTTTTGGTTTGTTTTGTTGTGGAGGTCCATTCGTTGGTGCGGTATCTCTGTTCACCTGTACTGTTGTCCTGGGTGGAGCATGTTTCGGTTTCTGTGATTTAGGCGAATAGCGCTGGCTGGGGTGTTGATCCATTGATTCTGGGGTTGATGCGGATGAATTGCGTAATGGGCATAAAGTATGGTGGTGTTTTTTACCATCGCAGTGTGAGCACCCTTTACTAAAACACTGTGAGACAAAATGTCCTTGTTTTCCACAGTTAAGGCATAATTTCTGTTCCTGCATGATAGCTCGTCTTTCGGATAATGTGGGATATCGTGGGCATGCCGCCGATTTGTGGGTGTCCGCTTTACAGAACATACATGATGATTGTGTTTTGGATTTGCGCGAGTTCATGGAGCCGACTTGGGTTTCCTTTTGGACGGACCTCTCAACGACATCGTTAATGCGTTCTTCTGTTGTGATGTAGTCATCAAGAGCATTGATTAGGTCCTGCATTTTCCATGCTGAGTCATCTGTACCATGAGGAAGGTAATGTGCAAGGACGTGGCGTTGTGTAGTTGGTGTGAACTTGGCCAGAATTTTTTGTACCAAGTAAGACCCATCAAGGTGAATTTTTAGCTTCTGTAATTGCATTACAATCGGAATGATATATTCCAGAAGACGCCTTTGTCCTTGAATTGTTGAACGGTCCGCTTTCGCGTTTTCCAGGCGTGTTTGTAGAGTAGAAACTAGCTTTGAGTTGTCGGCGTACTTCTTTTGCAACATTTCTATTGCAAGCTCATAGTTTTCATCTGTTACTGGGAAACGCCTCACCACTTCCCGCGCTTCACCTGCAAGCGCGTCTAACAAGTAGTTGAACTTTTGAAGATTCGTTAGTGGCTGGTTGTGTACATTGGCGGTGAATAGCGTCCAAAAGTTATTGAACTCCCAAATTTTTCCCGAAAACGACGGGATCGGGATAGCTGGCAGACGTGGTTGCGCGACCTGCACACATGCTCCGTTTTGCCGCGTCTGATTCTCCAATGGGCCAGTGAAATTCTGTGTCCGGCTTCGCAATGTGGCTTCCATCTTGAAGGCTACACTGTGCGCCCTCTCAAGAGCCTCATGTGCCTTGTCCATGTATGACTCTACTTCTTTCACTTCTTCCTGACTGAGAGATTCGACTAATGTGTCTGCAGTCGCGTTAAAGGTGGACAGCGTGTCGAGAAGTAATTGAGCTGTAGCCTCTATTTCAAGAAGAAGGGCGTGTTTTTCTTCGTATGTTGTGGCGTTGTTCGGAGTGGGTCCAGGCTGGGCCGTAGTCTCTTTCCCTTCCTCTGTCAGACGAATTAGCGCATTGCAGTACCGGGTGACTAGCCCTTTTTGGGAGCGCAGGGTCATTGGGCCCACCATTTTTTGAGTAAATAGATCAATATTGTTTCAAAAAAAATGTGAGGAAATCGAAGAAAATTAAAGAAAAGCACGGATTTTTTTTGGAGGGTCATTTTTTCTTCGCCGGCGCCGTCCGACTGTCACTGACCCAGGTCAGCGCAACACTCCTTAGCAGCAAACCAATTCGAAACCGCGACGACGTCAAAATTTGAGTGCCCAACTTCTTCGAGTCGAACCAGAAAGAGTTCTACGCGGTAGGCATCCATGCTTTGCGTAACGAAAGGTGATGAGCCTGTGACACAGGTGAAGGAGATGGTTCAGGTTGATGTGCTTCATTATTGTTTTTATAATGAAAATAATTGATGATCGAAAACGACATTTCAACTGTTCCAACCTAATAAATATCGGACATGTTTGGCGCCAATTAGAACATTTTCCTCAATTAGGTACACAACATTTGCTTTCGCCTACCATTTGCAATCCGTTTCTGACCGTCTGATTGGGCGATTCTAACTGGAGGCCGCCACACTAGGTAGAAATCACGTGGATAAGGTACTTCTGGCCTGTCTTCCTGATTTCCAACGAAATATTAGGTCAACTCATTCAAACATGTCCAGACATCTAGAGAAATGGTGGGAAAAGTAAAAGAGCTAGAGCATTCTACTTGCTTTTGCTTTTAAGCTAGCACACCCAGCTACGGTATACTCTAATTTAGTTTATAGTGCTGCAGGAGGAAACACTTAAACACATAAAAGAATTCATAGTGACCCAAATCGAGGTGGAATTTCCAAATGACTGGTGACACACGTAAAATTCGCAACTCGAATTCTCTGTGTGCTGGCTCAACTTACGCGTGATACAGTGTTCTCGAAGTGCTACGTTGAAGATATGGTGTGAGAGCTCAAAGAAGGGAGAACGGAAGCGAGTTGTGGTTGAGGACGCGTTCATATTGTCCACCTTGCCCAAGAAGAGCGGGTGGATGAAATGAGGTTTCAAATGGCGCATCACAGATGTTGAACCTTTGCGATGTTTGCCCACGAGACTTGCAGTCTAGCTGCACCTGTTACGCAAATTGTGCCCAAAAATTGGGGATGGTCCACAGAACATGTTTTTGGATATCCCATTTACTCCCAGATGCAGGAGTCCAGAATCGAATTGGTGTCTGTAGTAATGATTTTCTCTGCCGATAGCGGCATTTAAGACTATCAAACTGGACCCTGCTCATAAACGAAATTTGTGTGTAATTGTACGCTGAGGCCAAAGTCAGAAGTGTCAACTTTGGATTAACGCGAATGAGGAACTGCCCGAATTGGATCACGAGAAGTCACGTGGGTTCACGTGGATGATTATTATGGCGATGGATTTCTGAGGTGTGCCTCTTAAATGGCTCTGTCGGGAAAAAACCTCCGGCGTTTCTCAAGTTTATGGCTTGTTTCTTAGCGAACAAATTGACAAAGGAATAGCAGTATAAAACTACAATAACGATATCATCACCTATGTCGATACCAGACCCTACATAGCTCATATTGCTCACGGGTATTTCGATCAAACGGATATTGTGGCCTCTTCTTATCAGCCGTATTTTCCCAACTGCAGCCATGCGACCTCAGCTGTTTTATCGAACTGAACGCCCTACTCGTTCGGAAGCGCTACGACAATTCGTTGATCATCTATACTGACATCAAAAGCATCTTGTCTATACTTGTTGAAATGAAGAAGCTGCGCGGTGTCCAGTGTTTTCTAGACGCTGGGATCGGGTCGTTAACAACGACAAGATCTGCTTGACTTCACACCAAAGTATTAGCTTTTTATCTTTCCTGCTGTTCATTTTATTCGAATAAAACCGTGGACATGTTTGAATGAGATGACCTAATATTTCGAAGCGGGTCATCCTCACGACTTCTATGAAGTGGAGCTGTCGCCACGTCAAGTCCGTAGAACCGCCCAATCAAACGGTCACATTTGAACTCTATGAATCCTTACGTCACTCACTGAGTTAATATTCTCCACGAGGATTCAAGGAATATCGGTGTTGACAGCCCCTGCGGTCCTACTCCCTGCCATAGGATCTTAACGACTATGTGCCGGCCTCCTTTCACTCTCAATCTCCTAACAATCTCAGCAGACAAGAATTGTGCCTGTTTAAGTAAATACAGTAAAAATGATATTATGTCATACAAGTTCATTTTGTCTTACCGCCAATAATACATGACGTTGACACATGTATTTGCTTCTGTTGGTGATGTCATCCATCCAACTTCCCTACTTTCTCCTTCTCCAAATAACCAACGAACGAAAGTGAAGCGGTCAAGATAGTATTCCTTTTCTTATTAGGGATTGTCTGCTTCATGGTGCTTCCTCTCGCAAACTGCCCGCATACGAGATAAGCCGTTTGGACGGAGCGAGAACGAAAAAACAAACGAGAACTGAACGAACGAGAACTGAAGTAAGGCGTGAATTACGACGTTCCTGCCGCAATCACGTACATTGCGCTCGCAGCGACGCGCTTTCTGCGGTAGCCATTCTGAAGGTCATGCCAACAACGACGCTACCCCTTCGGTCCAGGGCAGCAATCCAAAAATGGTCGAGCGTCGCAGCGTACGCTCCGCCGCGCGGGCGGGGAGCCTGAGCGCCGCGCGCGAGCGTGTGTCCATCCTCCACCTCCTATATGAACGGCGCTTAGTACAGTTGGCGAGTTTGCTCGACGCGTTCTCTCTTCGTTGAGAGCGCAGAGAAAACGAGGGCGAGCACACGTTTCAACGCGTCAATGCGTCGCGCATTGTACGTGACTACAGCAGAACAATATAATTCACGCCTTACTTCGGGTGCTCGCTCCGTCCAAACGGCTTATCTCACCGCATACAACACATTTTCTGTTCGCCATATTGCACTGAAATCCTTAACTTACCAATGTTATGCCTACGTTTACAATAGCAAATTATCATGGAATTGTTGGGATGTGAGAAGAGACAACATAACTGCGGCACGATCTGGTTAAAAACGTAGCTGAAATAGTTTCCCCATTGATTGCCACGTTGACTTCATGATCTGTTCCAGTCAACCCCTTCGCGTTTCATGTAAAAGCAAGTTGCGCCCCGGTTTGAAAGTCTAATCTTCCTAAGAAGCCTTGATATATATTTCATGCACCCTCATTACTTTAGTGAATAATGCCCGCTTTCTGTGTCTGTATAATTCTACAAATCCTCAATAGTTCTTTATTGATTATGTTTCTCAATTAAAGGCAAAATTCATGACAAAAAAATCAGACAAGGCCAACTCAAGCAGTATCACGAAGCAACAACTTCTCCTGTCGCGGAACCGTTGGGGGAAGGGTGCCCGTCTTCCCCGAGACCGCCCTCCGGGTCCCGTTCCCGGTGCGACAGATCGGGGTTCCGGATCCCCTTCTCTCAACTAGAGGGTGCCTGTCCTAGCGGGTCATCCCGGGGACCGTGCCGTTTTCCCCCGACACGGCGCCGCTCCCCGAGGCATCTACGCAGCACAACATAAGCATGCACAACAACCGATACATTGGACGGTATAGCGCACAAGTCGGGCCCCTTGCCCTGGCGCTCCCTGACCACTAGTTCCACACATGGTAATACAACACATATAAACACTCACATTTGGTGAAAATGTAGTTTGGGGGGGCCACTCATAATATCTAATCGAACTGGCAATATCTAATCGAAGTGGAGCTGCGGAAGGGCGGTCATATCTAATCACCATCCAGAGCACAGTCTCTGAGTGTATGATTAGATAGGGATACCAACCGTGCCATACAAAATCGGATACCTGGGAAGGCCCTTTCTTCGAGGGTTTGCATGGCAGTCGCAAGAAGGTTTGATGAAAGTAAGGAGCCAGCAGGGTAGCAGCCATTTTAGCCCTAGACCAATATGACAGGAGTAAGCGTACTAGTCCAGTGGCCACGGTCTTAGAGAAGATATGATAAGATAAGTGCCTTCCAACTTACTTGATTTGATATGAGTGTCCTTCCGCAGCTTCACCTAGATAGAGTGCCCCCCGGACTACATTTTCACCATCACATTTTATTAGAGGTCCTTTCCTGAACAATCCATCGTCCTACTCTTACGTCCTTGCCGGCGTCGGATCTGACCATGTCCTCGGAAGGGTCCTTCGCGGTAATCCTACACTGCACTCTGCCTCCTCCCTCAGATGTTGTTGAGGGCCCTACAGCCGATCACACCATCAGGGCCTAAGCGAGCGAACCTCGATAGGGACGCATGGTGCAAACTTACCGATGCTCCGCCAAGGGAGACTACCGTGCGCCCGACCGCACGGCAGCAATGCGCCCATGAAGTGCTCTGCGCACTTCGCCCTTGGCCTCCTGGCGGCTGTAGCCTGAGGCTCCCCCTCGCTAGAGGAAGTACGCCTCCACCGGCAGAGGCGACCGCATGACGACTGACCTCGGCTGGGGGCGGGGCCGCTACGTGGCGCACGCTTCGAGGGCCGCGCGCGCCCAAACATAAATGGCCATGGAGCGAGACAGAGCCAGGCGTGCAGCGCGCGCCCGGACGACCGTCGCGTACCGCGACAGTCCGTATCAGTTGCTCAAATATCGCTCCAGCTTTTCGTTCTTATCGGCCTGCGAGAGGAAGATACAGCAGCTCGGATCTGAAACCACGGAAGAAATCACAATCATGTATAAGAACTTAAAAAGACCTAAAACCATTACTTGGCCCGTCCTCCATGCGACCTTCACCAACAAAAATTGAGCCAAATTGGTACTTGACTTCAAGAAGATAACTTCTCTACTTATCCTAACCATGTTGGGACACCATGTGATCTCTTTTCTTTTGTACTTGATCTGTAACCTACGCGACCTGCTAGATTTTGACCAGAGATCTGGCGGGCCAGTACGGTATATAAGTGTACAGTTTCATTGTAGTTCAGTTCAATGTCTTCTAATAAATATTCTGCTACTGCTGCCCGTCTTCCGAAGGACACAACAACTGGCGATCAGGACAACGACTTCAAGGACCACGCCGCCTTCGCCGGGATGC